AGCCCGAGGAACACAGTGTGCACCTTGGGAACTGGACCTGGCAGTTCTGCAGCACCTTCAGGATGAGCCCTGGGCTCCTCCTTTGCTTTAACAGCTTCACAGGATGAGAACACAATAATCAAAGATGAAAGCAGATAGGGCAGGAAGGAAGATGAGAAGGCACATTTCACTGGTGAATTAAAAGATCAAGGTCCTGTTCTGAAGTCCACTGAAATCAATAAAATGTCTGCTGCTGCCCTTAGTGAGCTCTTGTGAGAGACCCTGTTTGACTGAGTTAAAATACAATGTGACGTCAATATTTTCAATCAATATGAAAACTACTATAAGTGGAGCAATACTGGGAGTTAATGCAACTTTAGCAGCATTGAAAAACCACAGGATGGGCACTCTTGCCAGAAATAACTATCTCTACTTTATTTAGGATTCTGATGAAACAAATATGCTTCTTGAATTGCCGACTTGGCTGCAGCTGAGATGTCTTTACCTCATAACCGGGGTATTTCTTTGAACCAGAGGTGTCAGTCTCTGAAGGGCCTTTCTACATCCTGTTCTTGGTGTTCAGAAAGCTGTTGGTGTGTGGGAATTCTTGCTTTGCCTTGGCACAGCTTGGACAGCAACAAAGGAGATGACTGCGAGGGCTTTCAGGATTCTCTTAACTATTTTATCTTCTTATCAATTCTTTTCTCTTGCCCCTTTGCTGGCTGTGAGCACTCCCCTGTGACAGTGCTACTTGGAATGTGTAGCTGTCCCAAAATGAAAGTAGCTAAGCAGTACTTTTTTCCTCCTGGGTAATTATGAATTGCATTTGAAGTTTGTCAGTGTTGAACTGAACATGTTTGAGACAGAAACCTGCTGTGCAAGGGAGGGTGTGGTATTGCAAGTATTACTGCATCTGCAGTATATTTTAGTGCTGACCACTGAAGTGTCAGTGCTGTGATTTATATCCAGGTGGTCTAACAGAAAGGAAAGCAAAGGTGGTAAGACTGGTCTGATTTAGGTCTATCTGTACCTCAAGTTGCCCTTTTTCATTTCTTGTTCTGTATTGCTGCTTTTCAGTTAATAAAACAGATATATTTAAGGTACAGCCAGAAAAAAGCCAGAACATGGTTTTATGTATTATCTTTTCAGTACCGGTTCAATGACACTAATTTCCAGCTTGGAACTTTCAGGAACATGTTGTTTCCACATAGTAGCGTAAGAATGAGAGGGTGGAGAGCTTTTTTTTTTGTTTTTTTAGAGGTTAATATTTTTTCTCTTGGGAAATATGAAATGCAACCTACCCAGTACTGGATGTGTGATTGGTAACTCACTTCCAGGGTTATTGTACCTCTAGAATTAGGACAATTGCTACTGTGTGTGACTAATAAATGCGAGTATGGATTAAACAATGAGTGAGACAGGAGGCAATTTGTAACTGTAGCATATGCTTCCATTGCTGGCTTCGTGCTTCTACTTTCTGAAAGGGTTATTTTGCTGCTTTTCTAGGAGTCTGCAATTCTGTAGATACTGAAATGGCTGAATACGCTAATAGGCACAATCCAGCTGAATAGTTTTAAAGAGTTGAGTTCTGTACATTGTTACCCTGCTCTGGCACTCCAAATGTTTTTGTGCCTATCACAAATATTCCATCACCCCCATCTGCATCCCTCAAGAGGAGGTGTTCTGAGAAGAGCTTCCTGAGCAGAAGGAGGAGGCTGTGCCTGCCTCTGACATTTAGCCTGGTTGGAGTAGCAGCACAGGGGAGGTCGACATCCGTGCTGTGGGTGGAGGTGAGAGAATTTGGCAAGCCAGGGCTCTCCAGTGTCCAGACCACCAACAGCTGTGTGTGCACATCTCCAAGCCTGGTCTAACCCTTCCAGCAACGAGGTAAATTTTAAACCAATGCACAGTTCGTAGGGACAGAGGTGGTGGTTGATGTATATTTATGAAATACCTCGTGGATGTGCCTGTTGGGTATCACATTCAGGCATGGCTGTTCATCACTTTGGAAGAATCTAATTCCCTTATGAAATTGTCATCTGCCTCATCCAGAAGGGCTTTCTGCAACACTAGGCAAAAAGTTGAGTTCTCCAGGGAAGAACTATTGCCTGGAACTATCTTCTTTTTATCTACTTGAAACCAGTTTTGATTTCCAGGCTGTTTCCTGAATGGACTAGAGCTTAGAACTGGAAAGAACAGTCTCCCTTCTGGCTTCAAAGCATGAAAGGCTTTTCCCACTCCATCACTGCCTCCCTTTTTTTTTTTTTTTTTTTTTTTTTTTAACCTTTGACAAGAGATTTGAGTCTCATTTTCTTGGTGTGGCTTCTAGGCTCGGTTTGAAGTTTGTTTTTGTGCTGCCCACATGATTTATGTGGAGAGAGAGGGAGGCTCGTCCTTGTGAGATGGACCCCTGTTAGTGGATGTGCTTCAGGGGAGATAATCACTTGTTTACATCCTCTCCTCCTGTACTCAGTTACTCTTGGTTCTCATCCACTAGGTTTTTATAGACTGAAAATGCTAATTTGCTCAGCAAATCATGTCTGTCCAGCTGAAAGCTGGCAGGTAGAGCCCAGTGCTGATGAGAGCCGTGGCTCTTGCAGCACTGCAGTGCAGGAGCCGATTGTCTCAGCTGCTGGGGCAGGTTGGAGAGCAAAACCTGGAGGTTGGAGTCTTACAAGCTTCATTATCCCAAGTGGGAATTTGTTGAATCTCACGAGTTCTCTATTTCTACATTCAGAGCTAGTGATGACACATGCTTTTCAGAGAAAACCCACCCTTTTTCTGGATCTGTGTTCTTCTTGTGTTATTGTGCATCTGCCCACTCTCCCACTCCCCTCCCACACACCGTTTGTGGCAGCATCTCTGGATATTCTGCTTTTCTGAGGTACCAGCTCCACAATACATTTTCTATGTTTAGGGGGACTCCATTTTTGCTTGAAAATGCAATCTTCAGACTGATGTCTGCAGAAGGATTTCTCTTTGTTAAGATCTAAATACGCAATGCGATGACAAGCCCTCTTCTACTTTTTTTTAGGAAAATCTGTCTTAAAACAGAACACTTCTTTCCTGCAGGGACGTAAGCTGTGTTAAACATTCATACACACTTCATGTTCTTCTCCCCAGACTGGATATGTTCTTTCCAAGATAACCTTTTGAAAGTCACTTATTTTTTTTGCCACACAACGATGAAATGTTTTTATGTCTCTTTGAGGTTAGGGAGAAAATGTTTATGGGACATGGTAGTGAACTATCAGAGCTGACCTGGAGTTCTTCTTTAATAATCTTATAAAGAATATTTGCTATTGTATTTTGTCTTCCTTGGCACCAGTTGCTCAATTCCAGTGTCTGATGTTTTTCCTCTTTTGTAACCTGGGTTACAAAGTGCATCAAGTCCTTTTAAATTTTTGGGTGAGTTTTCTGGAAGAATAATTATTTAATACTGAGCTGATGAGCCTGCACATATCAATCACCAGAAGATAAAATTGTTTAATAATCATGACTGTTATCAGCCCTCCTGTGTATCAAACCCTACTGTGTGCACCTTGTACCAGGATTTAAGCATTTTGTGGCTTAAGGACACCTTGAACTGTGATTTAGGCAAATCCCAAGACAAGGATTTTAAAGTGTGGTGACCTGTAAGTTGGTCTTATTTTTGTATTTCCTGTTTAAGATCCCACTAAAAGGTTGGGAAGGTATCAGGAAGGTGGAGTTCTAGACTATCAGCTGTTAATTTCTGGTTTGCAAGTGAGGCTCATACAACATTAAGAGGACAAGGCATGCCACAGTCCTAATAAAGATTCCAATTTTCCCCTTTCTTTTATCCCTGTAGCTGCCTCCACCTGTCTCACTTTGCTGATGGCTGTTGCTGCAGCTCCTGCTTGTGTTTTAGCTGTTAGCTCTGTGTAGCCCAGTTTCTCACAAATGGGAATAACTGGGAGAAAATCAGCTTGTATGAACGGAGGAGCCAGAAAAAACTTGGCTGACACTCTCTACCCTGCTTCTTCCCATGCCTCCTTCCAGTAGAGAGATGTATTTTTGATTGAATGCACAATGCACAGGTCACTGGCACAAACACAAAGTAGATCCCTGTTTTAAAGATGCTTTCATAGTGCTTGGTAGTTTCCATACATATTCCCTTGTGAAAAGTTTGTCTGTGAGATTCTCAAAGTGAAACCTTGTAGTACCAACAGAAGTCATCAATGAGAATTAGTTCCACGGTGATGATAAATGCTCCTGGTCCCTGTGAACTGAAACCAGGTTCTGTGGGTACCACAGTAGCGTGAGATGGGGATTAGGGCTGCTCCATGAGCTGCTGTCATATGAAGAACTCCTTTGGTGGGTTTTTGTGCTGTTGTCAGTGAGCTCCTGTGTCTCTGGGGTGGCCAAGTCAGGGATGCAAACAGCTCTTGAGTGTGGCAGCCCACCTCTCTCTCTCAGGACCTGCCTGGAAGAGGCCAGAGCAGTGGTGTTGGAGGGAGGTGGAATGTGATCAGCTGTCTGCCAGTGACTAATGCAAAGGCTCTTTTTATCTACCCACATCCTATTTTAGTGAATAAATGCTTGATGCTAATAGTGATAACAGTTACCCAGGGAGGAGGGATTGGAACTTTGATGTGCTGCTTCAGCAGGGGGATAAGCAATGAGGGAATGATGAGGGAGTGCCGGACCCGTCTGTCTCTGATATTAACTCTAGAAATCGGTGTCCCAAACCCAAATGATATTTGTGTGGGGGAGACTAAGTAACAACATGTTGTTGCCGTCCCCATTGGTCCCCGGCTGTAGTCGTTCTCCATCTTCAGCGCAGCGTTTTGGGTGGAATAATAACGAGCAGCACGCTCGGTGGTGTTATTTTTCCCTGGGTGGAGTTGAGCGGAGCTGGGCAGGCCGAGCCCCGGATTACGGCGGTGCTTCCCCCTCCTCGCTGCTGAATGCAGCTCTGCCGATGCGGCCTCACGTGGCTGCAGGGAGGCACAAGGAGGGCTTGAGCGCTGCCAGCCCTTTCCAGGCGGCTCTCCGTGCTGCCCGCAGGTGAGCAGCAGCCCGAGCCCGGCCTCTCCCAGCCCGCCGCATCCCCCTCCCTCCTTCCCATCGAGCGACCCGGCGGCGAGGGGAGATCGTGGGGGGCCACCGGGGCGAGAAGGCACCTCAAGGCGGTGGCGGCGGCAGCGACAGCAAGTCACTAAGTCAGACTGCACCATTTTCTTCTCACCCTGCGTAAAGGCGATGTGAGGAGCTGACGGGAGCTGCCCCCTCCCCCTGCTGCCGGTGATGCTGAAGAAGCCGGAGCCTTCCTCCCAGCCACAAGACGCAGCCTCTCCGGAGGAATCCCGAAAGACCTTCCCACTTCGGTGATGGGTGTTTAAAGGCCGGTTTTTTCGTTTCCTTCTCCTCTTTTTTTTTTTTTCATTTCTTTTTTTATCCTCCCCGGCTAAGCCTGAAGCCCGCCTTCTCCTGCAGCCGCAGCCACGCTGAAGGGCTTTCAGGCTGCTGGGAGGTAATTCCAGCTGCTCCCTGGCCGTGTGCGTGTGGCTGCGGGCACTTTGGCACGTCTTGTTGTGTGGACGTGGCTCCCATCCTCCCGAGCCATGGGTGCTGCAGAGACTGGAGCGGAGCCCTGACCTTTCCTGGGGTGCCGGAGGAGGAAGAGTGGATTACGCCGTGAAGTTCTGGCTCGCAGCCAGTGCCCTTGCGGGGAAAAAAAAAAAAAAAAAAAATTAAATCACCTGGGTGTCTGCGTGTGGTGGGAACGGCTTCCTTGGAGCTGGGGTTTGCCTCGCCAAAATGGCTCACGCAGCCGCTTCCATTAAAAAAGTTCGAGAATCTGAACTCGAAGAGAGGGAGAGAAACCTTGAGAAGGAAAGGAAAAGGCAGCGGAAAATCTCTAGGGCTGATCGGAAACGCAAGGTACGAGGGGGAAAAGCAGCCCCTTCTCCTTTTCTCCCCACCCTTCCTCCCTCCCTGCAGCGCTTGGCAGGTGTTCATTGCCAGGTGTAACGCTCTGCCCTTCGTTTTCCGAACCTTTCCCATCACATTTCCCTTTTACATCCCTTTCCGTCCCTTTGGAACCCTGCTGGGGACTCAGCCCATCTGCAGTGAGATTAAAGTGCTGCCAGCCATGGCAGCCCAGAGCCACCCAGGAATGCTGCCCAGAAAGATGGCATGCCAGCACTGCCGCCTTCCCTGCATCCCCAGAAGAGCTGGAGATGCCTGCCCTCCTTCCCAGCCAGGTGTTCCAAGCCCCGAGCTGATCTGAAGGAGTTGTCAGGGAGGGAGGTGGCTGTGCTTGTGTTCTGCAGCGTGAAGATGCATTTCTCTACTTCCCGACAGCATTTCACCCCGTTTCCCATGTTCAGTTCCCCTTCCCACGTCCCCAGCAGTGCTCAGGGGTGTGTGTGGGACCTGTCTCGGGGTGCTGGGTGCCTCAGCCGAGCCATGGTGCAGTTTTTGGGTGTCACTGGGGGATTCTGGGCTGGTGCTGTGATTCAGTGTATTTACTCTGCACACTGCAGGTGTATTGTCGGGGTAGGGCCTGGCACACAGGTCTGCAATCTGTCGGGTTGGCAGTCTCTGATTCTCTTAAGGCATCTCTGTTTAGGTGGCTCAGATTCTGGGGAGGTGTCTCGTGATTTATAATTAACTGTTGTTTTCCTTCTGTGTTAGAAATGGGGAATGACAACTCCCATTGCCATAGGGTAAAAAATAAAGAAGAATAAAAAAATCAGTAGAGATGATTTGTTTGCCAGATATATATATATATAGTTTCCAAGGACACAAAAATTATGAAATAGTGGAGAAAATATTAAAACCTGAAGGTTCTGTGAAGCTTGGCTTTAGGACTGTGATACATTGGGAGTGCCTGTGTTAATGCTTCCTCATTGCTTTTTCTTTCCTCCCATCTCTGGAATCTCTAGCTTGTCACATGCATTAACTCATTCCCTGACACCACGTCTATATCCATTCTTTATAAATTTCTCTGGAAGGAATCATATCAAAAGGCATAAGCTGTCCTTTTTTTATTTTTCCCCTTTTCTGCTACATTGTGTGTAATCACAGAGCTCTGTACAAAGAAAAACACAGAATCCAGCCACGTAACATTTGAATTTACAGATCCTTTTGGCAGATCTCTAGGATTCAGAAGCCATCTGCTCCCTTGGCATACCTGGAAATTTTGAATTCATTTTACATTCTGTGTTGTGGGTTTTTATATTCTGAACTGCAGGGCTCCAGTAAAGCAACTGAGGTCGTTTGGTGCCTTTGGGACCTTTGGGTGTGATCTCCGTGACTTTCCAAAGGCTCGCTTTGCAGAGTTCATTAAGTCACATCCCAATTCTCTTCATCAGAACAGGAATGTCATTTCCAATGAATGCAGGGCCTGGATGCTGGGCAGAGCTGCTTGGGGCAGATTGTGATTACTCTCCTAATCCCTTAAATGGGACGCTGCAGCATAAGGTAGTTTTTGTGATTACATTTTTGATTGTGGAATCCTGTGCAAAACAACCTTTTTTTTTTAAAAAAAAGATGTGTTTCATGTGTGGGTGTCCTTGCTGGAAGGGCTTTTTCCGTGTTTGCCCAGCACCCACCTCAGTTCCTTCATCACGTTGGGTGTGTTGTTTTTTCTGGTTTTCACAAATCCTATTTCAGCACCGCGTTTGATTCAAATACCTTTTTGACTACTTTAATTAAAGCTGGATAGAATTAATACTGCCCCTTCTGCTCTCTCCTTTCCCAGAGAGCTGCAAGCAGGCAGGCTCAGGCCGCATCCGTGTTAGTAATCATGTGTGGTGATGCAGGCTCCTAATCAGATTTTCAGATCCAGGGATCTCCAGTGGTCACTGCTTAGAAAACATTGAGAACACCTCGGCGTTGGGTGCGTTCCTCCCTTTTTAATATTCAGCCCCTGCTCCTGGCTCCCTTCTACTGCGGCTGTACCTCGCTGTTACATAAACAAGTGCCTGGCTGCACCCTGAACTTGCCTGCCCGTGGTTGGGGGTGGGTCAGGCTGGGCTTTTCCCTCCTACTCCTGCTGCAGGAGACGCACAGCGGCACAGGGATGAGTTTAGTTTGTTTGTGTCTGTGTGCATACGTGCAGATCAGCTACATGGATATGTGTACACACCCAGCATGTACACAGAATAACCCAAACATGCAGTAGGTGTTGTATATAATAGAGTGTTTTTATTTAGTCAGCAATTTACGTGAGATTTATACCACTGAGAAGTATATATTTATAAATATGTCACCCAAGTTCCTTAAAAACAATACATTGTTTACTGTGAAATGGAATTATCCCCTAGTAGGTGCAGAGCCCTCCCCTTTTTTGTTGACTTCCTTGGAAAACAGAAGCTAGGAACAAATTGTGGGTGCAGGTTCATGAGAGGCAAAATGCAAATGGATACTTTTTTGGTTGCTCTCAGCACTTCAGCTCTTTCTGCATAGGGGGAACACGGTCCCAGCTTTGTGACTTATTGGAAAGCTCTTGCATTGCAGTGAGTGGATGTTCAGTGCAAGGGAGATCCATTTTGTTTGGAGAAGAATGGTGAGAGTGGGAATATGTCAGATGTCGTAGCCTGTCTTTCCAAAGCCTCATTTGGATACGTGCCACGTTATCTGTACGTGCCCTGTGCACGAAGCGCTCCTTTGGCCTTGTGATGGAAACTTGTTCTGCGTCCCTGGAACATCCTGATTATGCAAAAGAGGATAATGAAGGGCCATGGCTTTATCTTTTCACTCTGCCAGGATGTTTGGCATCTATTACTACCGTCCCGTGCTTCTCTGAGCTCCCAGGAATGCTGCAGGGCGTGGGCTCTTGGTGGCTCTGCCTTTTCTCTTGAGTGTTTTGCTTCATGATGTTTTGCAGTGTGATCATCACCTGTCTTGGCAGCAGCACCACAAACGGTGGCTGCGGCTTCTGTGCTGCCTGGGGAGGCCCAGAACGTTCCTAAATGTCCTCACGTCTGCTGCCTGACGGAGCTGCGGGCCGGAACAGCTCCCTGACCATCGGCAGGGCTGGGAACAGGCCTGGCACCAGCAGCAATCTTGCTCAGATGGTCTCTTCTTACCCTTCTTAGGAGTTCTTTAAAGATGAGCAGAATTATTCCAAACCCAAAAACTTGGGAAAAGGAGTCTGCATGCTGAAGACCCTCTCCTTGATTCTTTTTGAGATTGACTCTGTTGATTTTAAAATCCAATTGACAAGAGGCAACTCTGCTCACCTTGCATCCAAGGGGAGATTCTCCCTTTCATGCAGGGAATCTTTTCCTGCAAGGTGGAAAAATGGGTACTGATGCAAACACATGTATGTAAACAAAAAACTCCCCAAGCATCTGAATAGCTGTGTGGATACCCAGATGTACCCATTAAAAGCCAGGTACTAACAGAGGAGTTGAACTGTTTAAATATGTAAATTGCAGTGAAATTTAGGCGTGATTAATTCCATTATACCTAAATGTAAGGCCCAGCTCCACTTGGCTCTTGGTGACTTTTGAGAGAGCTGACTGTGGCTCATCCTTTGGGGAGTGAGGAGAGGGGAGCTGGTGTGATTATGCCACAGTCACTCACTGAGTCAGCAGCAAAGCTGGAATTACAGCCTGGGAATCCAGCTGCCTTGCCCCTGGCTCTGTGTAACACACACTCGCTTTTCCCTGTCTAAAGTACTTTTCAAAGCAGACAGAGCTTCCTGTCTCTGCATGTGACAAGTAAGTGTTGGAGAGATTTTAGAAAACCCAAAGAAAATAAAATCCCAAAGTAAAAAAAACTGTTATAAAAATGGCTTTTGCTGCCAAAGAAAACTAACTTCTGAATGTTACAAATGTGGTAAGATGATGGCTGTTACCTTTTACCACCAGTAACGAGAAAAGAGTTTGAGCTCTGCTCTCTTACTAGCAGTAAATGGCTATTTATTTAGTCTTTTGAAAAAGTTTGGAAAGGGCCAGAGTTCAGTGAGGAAGGAAAGGGATTAATGAGTCTGGGCATGCTGGAAAGAGGCATCTCGAGGAGGAGGAAGTCACGTGGAGCCACAGTTCTTTGCTCTTGGTCCCTCCCGTGTTGGTTCATGGATACCAAACTATCTCTCCCCTGGTGTGAACCTGCTGCTGCAGGATCATCGTGGAGTCTCTATCAGTTTATATAAGGAAGGCAGAGCAAGTCTCTCCCTGTCTGACCTGTGTGTGTTGGAGCTTTCAAGGTTCATTGCAGCTTTAACCCGCTGTTCTTTCTGTAGCACCAGATACGTTTTGCCCGTGCAGTGTTGTGTTTGTTGCCTTGGCAAACATCTCTGTGTTTCATTAGAATTTCTGGGTGTTTCACATGTCCCTCCAGCCACCAAAAAAGAAGAGTTTTTAGTGGTTTTTAATTGAGTGTTTGTGTAGGAGGTGCCTATTCCTGGTGCCCTTTGAGCATTTACCTCCTGTATCTCAAACTGGTGTTTTCCTTACGTAGATGTTTCTGGGCACGACAATAATATCCCACTGTTTGCTTCCTTCTAAGATGGAGCTTCTTTAGATGACGGTGCATTTCAGAACAGGCTGGGGCTTGCTGCTGCATTTTATCAATGTCATATTTGAGGGGTGATGTGCAAGGGAACGAATACACACTGTTCTGGAGTGAAACAAGCCAGGGGTTGTAGTGAAGATTGATGATCCCCAATTCCCTTACTTCTGATGGGAAAGGAGCAATTTTCCACTGCAAGTTTAAATTTGTTCACCTTTGTATTGTTGTCTAACCATGCTGTGATTTAGATGTGGTATTTAAGTTTAATGTCCTTGGTAATTTTTGAAAGATAAGATTTATTTGGTCTTAATAAATCATATGAAGACAACATTTCAAAACACTGATCATTTACCTCAGCGTGTTTCTGGTTTTGAGGGTGAATATGCCTCTTCACAACTTAAAATTGAATTATTCCA